CCTTTATCATTACAGGAGCCTACACCATGTTGTCCGCCCAAATGAAGCTCATCAGAGGACAATTTTCTGACTTGGGCGTTTGCCAGCCAACACCACAGTATCCGTGCTTCTTCTGTAACGAAGGAGATCGCGAAGTTGCTGATAGAAATCATCTTTCACCGAATCAGTGATACAGTTTATAGAGGCGTAGGCCGCAATGACAAACAGCCAAATTTCTTGTCGTGCGACTTCCTAGCATGAAACGAACCAGCTAATCTAACGGCGCACATCCGACTGTTGACTGGGATACAATCGATCAGCCAGGGCACACAAATTAATGCCTAAGCCAGCTTGACCGGCATTTGAAGCTGCATCATCGCCAGACAGGCGCAATGAGAATGTGCCGCCAGTTTCGCAGGGTAAGCACGAAACTCGAATTTTGCAGGCGGGTTTCTGACAAACAGCAAATATCGATCGACGTGGTCTCCATTGTTTTGGCAAGTGCTGCCTGTTGGCCAATCTGTAGCAAAGTGCGCATGTTGAGGTATTCCAGTCTTAGCGAGACGCGAGGACTCCAAAGTGAAACGTATGAATCTACGTTGTCCGCTTGGTTGGACATAAACCTGTCAGTTGTATAGGCGCGATGCCCTGCAACTGTGTGATTTGAAACCAGAAGACAAGCGATTGTTGAACTAAGGTGGGGGAGGGCCAATAATTAGGGGATTAAAATGGGGGATAAACGTAAAGTTGGAGCGGGACACTAATGATGAAAAGCGCAAGAAGGGGGATAAGAATACGGAAAGGCCTGAGCAGTAGCATCCAAACCCCTATCCACCCTGCTGTCGGCCGGTGGCCGAATGGTCGGCACGTTTGCTTTCCATCCATAAGGTCACCGGTTCGAATCCGCGTAGGGGTGGGCGTCCTCGCGGTATACTCAGCCCGCGCGCGACTAATGGTGGTCGCGCGGCAGCGAAGCGTCGTTACGGCGTATAAGCTGACACATTTCATTTCATTTCATCCACCCTGCTCGATGCAGCAGATAGAGCGTCGTTGATTCTTCTCTGCGACGGTCAGAGCGTCAAGAAATTGTTAGGAGAAAGGTTCATTGTGTTGCGTGGGCGGAATACTGTCAGGTTGGCCAAGCCTAGACAGGAGAACGATTAGGGTTCTCAACGAAAGCCTTTGGTTCAAAAACCTTACCGCAATGCAGCGGAGTTTTGGCACTGGACTACAGATAGGCGGTTTTATGGAGTAAGGAGCCACCCTCACTCCAACCCCCAACATGCAGGGCCGGGAGGTTGAGTTTGTCTGGCCTTCTTACCATTGACCGGTCTGGTATGAGTGGCACATCGGCCGGTGGCCGAGTGGTCTGCACGTTTGCTTTGCAACCATAAGGTCACCGGTTCGAATCCGCGTAGGGGTGGGCGTCCTCGCGGTATACTCAGCCCGCGCGCGACTAGTGGTGGTCGCGCGGCAGCGAAGCGCCGTTACGGCGTACAGCTGACACATTATTTATTATTTATGAGTGGCTCTGAAGGTGCAAAAAAATTGCACCACCCAGCATAGCTCAATGGATCACTGAGGCATGTTAATCCGTCCAAAACTTGTCCCCATAAAATCCTTTACCAGGATGGAGAAGAATGTCGTCGCATTCTTAGACTAACCTCACGCTTAAAATGTGAAATATGCTGTTTCTTGGAAGACATCCTAAAGATCAAATCAAAATGAAACAGGCTGTCAGCGAACTGCGAACCCGCCGAACGAACAGCGAAACTGACCTACATATTGTGGATTTTCGGATAGTACGCAAAATCCCAAGAGCCCGTTGGAAGCCAATTTTCTTGTCACCCTGCCCTTATGTGGATTGCGGGTAATATTTTCTAATGCACGCAGCCTCAAGAACAAACTGGAAGTGATTCCTGTGCTTATTTCTGAGTATTAGCCAGACCTGTTGGCTTTCACTGAGACTTGGTTGTCTCCGGCAATTTTAGTTACAGAACTTAGCACTTCTGGATATCAACTCTATCAAGCTGACCGTGCCAGTGGGCGAGCTGGAGGTGGAGTCATAGTCTACTCGAAGGCTTAAGCATCACGTCATTGTGGCTGTCTGCGCTTGTAATGGCCTTTCAGAGGTGCTGTGGTTCAGGATCAACGACGGCTACCAACTGCTCACGATTGGTGTGGCATACAAAGCTCCATCGGGAACTGGTACTCGTCTTTTGCAACCGGTAAAAACTAACGCTCGTGGCATAAAGTACCTGCTTTTGGTTGACTTCAATGCACCCAGCACCGACTGGGATCTTCTACATTGTGATCTTCCCAAGGATTCATTCGAAGCGGGCCTACTCGGAGTTATCCATGACTGCAACCTGATTCAGCATGTCACAACACCGACACGGATGCTCCCTGGTCAAACGCCTCACATTCTTGATCTAGTGCTCACCCCTGCGCCCTAGTCTGAAGATCATCCATTCTTTTGGTACAGTTTCCTTTCTGTGGACACGACGTCTCGTCATACATAACCAAGGGACATGTCGTGACTTCTGGCGGGGTGTTTCATCTAGACTGTAAGAAGTGACCAGCACTACAAACTGGAGTATCCCCCACTCCCTGGAGCTTGATGATGCATGCAACCTACTTTTTTGGAGGTTGATGTCGGTCATCGAGAAACTCGTCCCTACCTCCAAAGGTCTGCACGTTTGCTTTGCAACCATAAGGTCACCGGTTCGAATCCGCTAGAGCGGGGGGCGTCCTCGCTGTATACACAGCCCGCGCGCGACTGGTGGTGGTCGCACAGCAGCGAAGCGCCGTTACGGCGTACAGACTAACACATTGATTATTATTATTATGCATTAATATAATTATTCTCGTATCTAAGGCGAAATACCAAGCCAGGTTGTGGCATTCCTGCCCTAGCTGCTCACGACGTAGACGCTGTTCTCTGACGATGATGAAAAAGCTCACCTACGAGCCACCCAGTACTCATCGGTCTCCTCAGTAGTACTCGCTACTCAATGGTGATCTGCCAGCGCACTGTTCTCTGCTGGAGCAAGTCGAAATCACTCCTGAGATAACATTTAAACTTCTGTTCCAATTGAACCCATATTCCGCCCCAGGTCCCGACGAACTTTACCCACACTTTTTCACGAAGGCAGCTGAATATATAGTTGAGCCAATGTGCCAAGTGTTTTGTCGCTAGCTCGCGGATTTCCACTTACCATTTGACAGCAAATAGGCATAATAATACCGAAACATAATGGAGGTAACCGCCACAATCCCACGAACTACCGGCCGATATGTCTGACGTCTATCGTTTGTAAAATCACGGAAAGAATTCTGAAGCGTTTCCTGCACGTTCACTGCGAAATCACTCGCGTTATCTCTCCCGCTCAGCATGGATTCCGCAGAACACGGTGTTTCATAACTACTTTGCTTGTTGCTATAGAAGCATGGACCAATGCAGTAGACGAGAGGAGACACCTAGCTGTTGTCTACATTGATAAAGTTCCACACAAATGACTGCTGCTTAAACTCCAGGGGATTGGAGTCAATGTAAATGTCCTATCTTGGCTAGAAGGCTTTCTCCTTGTTCGGACCATTCGAGCGAAAGTGGACCAGACCCTCTGCCCCTGCGGCGTTCCCCAGGGCTCCGTCCTCGGGCCGGAACTATTCAAACTCTACATTAACGACCTACCTGCGACATTTCAAGCCGACTGTCTAAACTGTGCAGATGACCCCAAACTATGGTAAGAATTATCCATCCTTTATGACGCCGACAGGCTGCAAGCATCACTTGACCTGCTACATGATTGGTCCGTCAAATGTGAACTCTCTGTTAATCTTGACAAATTTACCCTCCTTCCCATTGGAGACTTGGTTCCGTTCGGTGTGTATCACAGTGGGGGCTATCTTCTCAAGACGGTCACTCACAAGAAGGACGTTGGAGTTATCGTTTCACATGACTTCAGAACTTCAGCAGACACACTACAGAAGGTTGCGGCTGCTAACGGGATGTTGGGTACTCTACGAAGAACGTTCTCTCGAATCTCGCCGTAAATCTTTAGAACCTTGTTCATTTCACATGTTCGCCCAATCCTGTATATCCCTTCCGAAATATGAATTTGCCATGTTAGAAAATGTTCAGAGGCGTGGCTGGAAATCCGTCTCGGAGCTTCACGACCCCAGCTACCCTCTTCGACTTCAGAAGCTTGACTTGTTCCCCTGGAGTACCGCCGCCGTCGAGGGATCTCATTTATACCAGGCGGGTCCTAAGGGGAGAACTTGGGGCGCACTTACAAAGACTCTTTCGACCCAAAGTGCATTCCTCGATACGAAGTCACAAGTGGAAGCTTTACAAACGAAGAATACATATCGTCCAGTCTGATGCTGCCTATCTACCCGGGTGGTGAACGATTGGAGCAGCTTACCAGAGAAAGTAGTTGATGCACAGACAGGAACCTTTTATACATCTGCTAGATTGCCACCTGATGAGTATCGCGGGCTCCTGCTGCCCCTATTGCAAGATCATTCATCGCAAGTGTCGGCTCCGACGTTCCGGTAAATCTTCAAGTGAAGGATACTTTTTGACCTGGTTTTCACCCGTGTTTATCTTTTCTTTTTATTCACAAATCTCACAATGTTCAACTTCTCGAATGTAACTGACAAGAACTGTGTGAATGAGTGCGAAGTGACTGAATACGAACCGCGTTAAACGATCCGCATTTCCCCGTTTTTTGTTTTCCTTATTAGTTGTACCGCTGTTAACGCTTCTGGACGCAATACACACACTGCCATCGCAACGAGACTGGACCTTAACGTGGTGCGACGGTTTGCGTACCTCATTGACCCATTGAGCTATACTGGGTGATGCCTCCGAGCATCTTGAGAGCTACTCCTACCAGGTTGGTCAATGGTGAGAGGTCAGACAAACTCAGTCTCCTGGTCCTCCAGGTTGGGGGTTTGAAATGGGATGGCGTCCTTTCTGTAAAACTAAATCACTGCCACCCCGCTGCCTTGCGGACAGGCTTTTGAGCCAAAGGCTTTGGATGAGGACCCTAATCGTCCTCCTGTCTAGGTCTGGGCGCCCTGGCAGTATCCCAGCCCACATACAACCATGACATTTTCTTCAAACATAAACTTCATCCTGCATCGGCCGTCGCGCAGATTATCAAGGGTCGCCTTATCTGCTGCATACAGCAGGGCGGATAAGCGAAAGCATGCTACTGCTGGCGCCTCCCTTCTTTCTTTTCCACCTTTTTCTCTTACTCCCATCCCGGCCCCCATTACTAACCTTCCTTCTATAATTCCCAGCTTAATTGACAGCAACCGAAGTGCTACTGGAGTAGAACCATCTGCAGCCACCATCCCACAGCACCTATCGGACGCCTATCGGCAAAAGTCCCTTATAAGGCCACGCTGTCCCGTTTCCATGGCGACATTCAACGTCCGCACTCTAAGACAAACAGGTCAGCAGGCTGCACTCGCACGCACCTTGGACACACTGGGTGTTGATGTGTGTTGTGTGTCCGAAACTAGGATTAATGACCCTAACGGGGTTATTGAATTGACTGCACCCGGCTTATCCTCTCGTTATTGGTTGCACGCATCCGGAGACGCCGATGCGGCACTCACGGGTCAAGCTGGTGTAGGTATCATTCTCAGCTCCAAGGCTGAGTCATCGTTGGTTGATTGGATTCCGGTGAACAGCCGTTTATGTGCAGCCCGTTTGACGACATCAGCTAAGGTGAATTCGCGAAGTAAAGCAAAACGCTGTTTGTTTGTGATTTCCGTTTATGCTCCCACCGACTGCAGTTCTAATGCAGTCAAGGACACATTCTATCACGAACTGAACGCGCTACTACGCAGTGCTACTAGTTCAGATATTATAGTACTTGCAGGGGATATGAACGCACAAGTAGGGCGTCTGAGCTCTTCAGAAGCTCAGCTGGGTGGTAAGTATGGACTTAACTCTGAACGGACTGACAACGGCGAGCGTCTGCTGCAACTGTGTGCGGAGCACCAGTTGTTTCTTACTAGCACTGCTTTTAGACACAGTGGGCGCCGAAGTGCCACTTGGCGTCCACCTGTAGCTGGCCAGCGATGGACCCAAATTGACCACATAGCCATAAGTTACAGGTGGCGCGGTTCCATTCTGGATTGCCGCTCGTACTGGAGTACCTGTGTCGACTCTGATCATGCCTTGGTGCGCTGTCGTTTCTCCATGAACTTTACCGGAAGGCGCACAAAGCGTCTCCCCGATTGGCAACGGAGAAATTGTCCCAGCCCTCGGTCAGGCAAGCCTATCAAGAAGCACTGCATAGCGAACTCTCGCTGTCTTGTCCTAATGACACTGAACTTCAGTGGAATAGGATCTCGGCCGCTATGCACGACGCAGGAGCATCTGCTTGTGGCACTATCAGTCGTCACCGCACCAGTCACTGGATATCCGAGAGGTCCGTGAACCTGTTGGAAGCTAGAAGACACCTCCCGGCTGGTTCTGAACACAATGTGACCAGACGGGCTATTAGGCGTGAACTAAAGCGGAGCCTACGTGCTGACAA